TGACCATCTCGTTGTAATTATATCCATCATTCAAAGTACCAATGCCACGATCAACATAATTTTCGTGGCAGGTTTTGTGATTGTTGTGCATTTTTTCTTTACGCCATGTGTTAAGCTTTTGTCCCCATGGATGGGGATGCTTATTTTCACCACTAACCACTTGATCCTCATAAAGATTAATAATGGCCTTGATATACTGCTAGTTGCTTTCATAACCAAGCGGCATTATTTCACCATCATCGTACTTATATTTACGGTTACCTTCAGGTTGAACGACCTCCTCCATAAACCGAAGAAGCTTTGTTTCAGTGACCATTTCATCAACCTTAAAAACACCAGGCTCAACTTCGTAGCGATATTCCTCTGTACACCAATCCTATTATTCACAACGTTCTGTTTAGATAAACCTACACTTTGAAATTTATCACACCAAACGTAAAACTTACAAGAAATTTTTGTTTTCTATTTTTATAAGAATTCTTTGTGTTTTTAGCCTGAAGCCTGTCTTTGAGACCAGTGACATGTTGCGAGATCTCAGCTTCCTTGGCTTGGTTTTCAGCCAATACTGCAGCATGAGTATGATGAAGATTGGCATTCGAATCAGCATCTTGGTTGGAAGAAGAAGAAGGAGATGTTGAAGACGATCTGTTAATTGAATAGTTATGGTTCATTTTACTTAACAATAAAAAAGGGTTACTTGGTAATAAAAAACTTTATGTGTGAAAAGAGTAATTTTATTAATGCTCAATCAGGCACACTAGGTATTCCAGCTGGTCACAAATTTTGCTGGTAACCTGGGTTATAACCCCGCAAAGCCCACCACTAAATACCCACTATGTATAGGAGGATATCTCTCTATAAGTTGCATGCGCTCCTCGGCAGCGAGCGTGCTTGTGAATGTGGATTGATCCAAAGTAGGCATCAAATGGGTTAAGGTAGCGGAAGGGGTCCAGTTAAAAGAAGGACGTACCAGTAAGTCATGAGGTGCTAGTGTGACAGGGGAAGGGGCAACATAGTCTATGCGTGCTTAATACAGGTCCTCGATAAGTTGTTGCTGTCTTGTCACCTGTTCCACCAGTTATTGAACTTGATTAATATCAGGATTGATTGTTTGTTCTGACATGGATGATTTCAATGAAAGTGGTTATGACCGGCATAGCGAAAGAAAAATGATCTAGGTTCAAGGATAGGACTCACATTAGATTTATAAAAAAAAAAAAAAAAAAATTTTATACATTTTTTATTTCATTTGTTATGTTTCAGTTAATAAAGAGAGAATTATGATCACAGCACTCTATCAGTTCAGGTTCGGTAAGTCCGATGGACTACCTCAATTGTCTGGAACTTAGTGATAGACAATAATTATTATTGACTAGCATTCTTCATCTCATCCGATATCCGCTCATCCGATCCGATGATGCAGTCATCCGAAAGATTGAAAGTGGTAATGGGTTTTTTTATAGGTGTTTATAAAAAAAACATAAAAATATTGGATTGAAAAAGTGTGCCGCATTTTTAATGTAAGTGTAGCAAGTCAATAAATGTGACAAATATTATTTTATCAACTCGAAGATTCATCAAACTTTTTAGATCTAAACTTTTTGAAATGATCTAATCCCAAAGATGTTGAAATGTTATTACTTGATCCCTATTCATTATATTTCTTATAGCATATTATTCCTCAAATTATTTATGTCACAACATTTCCTATATTATTTCATAATAATACTAATATTTGTCCCTTTCCAAAACGAAGAATAGCAAATAAAAAAAAATAACCATTGTTGAAGAAGACATCTAGAATAGTTTATTTGATATTTGTATTACCATAGTGATATATATAATATAATTATAAACCCCAATACTCTCTCTATTTTGTACAGTCCAAATGTTCATCATCCAAATATTTATCATCCAAATCTAAGTATATAAACCGTAATATCAACCCATATCCGCAGCACTTTTTTTTCAATGATTATTTGCATAAGTTATAAAATCTACTCAAAAAAAATAAAATAAAATACTACCACCATTAGTAAACAAATACATTATAGTAATATAATTCAGAGAAAGGGTATGTGTATAAAAAAAAGAGTAGTACTACTTACCAAGCGTCAAGCACAATGTCCAGTTATATAAAAGCAATTATGTCAAAGATAGGGATATATAAAAAAGAAGGAGCTTTGATACTAAAATTGAGTAATGCTAGTTATTTTGTAGGGTTATCAAGGTGTATATTAGATAGTTTTTATGACCAAGATTAAATAAAATATTTGTTAAAATCCATTGGTAAATAAAGTAGATTGTTGTAAAGAATATATATGTCTATAAACTCGATCCACAATAGTTAGTGGAGCAAAGATGTAATATTGTAATCGTTAAGCTAATAGATGCTTATTGGCGTTATTGAACATGTCCGTTCGTGTGTAAAATAGATACGATGATGAGTGATTAAAATAATATAATAAAAAAAAGACTACCCCACTTAGTTGTTTCATTTGGGATCATTAATTTCCATTGTTAAAAAAGATGACTGTGTTAAATGGAGTAACGAAGATTTGAATGAAGCTTGGTTTTCTTTTTTTTTTTTTTTGCTGTCACACATAATTTTTTTCAACACACAGCCATACTATATATGCACGTGCACGCGCACTTTATATTTAAAATTTCAGCTTTTCTTAACAAAAAGTATTCTTTTCCCTATTTTTTATATTTCTCTTCATAAAAAGCTTTCATCTACTATATTATCTTTTACATTACGGATTTATTTATTTTATTTTTATATTTATAATAAAAATTACCATGTACTTTTCTACAATTGCCATCGTTTATTAAAATATGCTTCTATTTTGTTTCTTTGAACCAGTTTGAAGTACATTATTTATTCTGAACCAATCTAAACTAATCGCGCTATATTATACTTATATATGAAAAGACAAATCAATCACGATAACAATTTTTACAATGTCCAATACCTTTTTTACATTCCAAATCAAAACTTATTATAGATTATTTCACTCTTTTCTTTGATTCACTACAATACGACGGTTCTTCCTACTTCGACTGTATTTCTGCCAAAAAAAATATACATACACACTTCATCTACCCATCTGATCCGCATCTGCATCCGCATCCGTATTTGCGGATGCGGATGCGGATAGCCCTATCATCCGATCCGATCCGATCCGTGAAGAACGCTATTGTAAAGTCTGTCAAAAATCAATCAAAAGAAAAAGGTAAAAGTAAAAGTAGAAGGGATAGAAAAGATGAAGATTTATTATTTTGCAGTTGAACCGCTCATATTTATACTTACTTAGGTGGTCACATGACCACCCAAGGATCCAATTCTAAATCACGAATTATGTGAACCTTTTCTTTGGTCTGACCAACCGAAACTACCACACAACGTGTCAGAGTCAGGAATTCTTAGATAGTATAGTTGAAATGATTGATTTTATTAAGAGGGACTATAGAGCCGCGTCAAGAACTTGACATAATGCTCGCCCAGACAAAAGACTAATTAGTGTCACAGTAAATGCATAAAAAACCTCTGTGCGCAAGAAATAAGGTAAAAAAGGTAATGTGGGGTAAAGCGGAGTGGAAACAAGTGATAGAAAAATTATGCACTGATAGTTTGAAACTAAATAAGGGGGGAGATAAAATAATAAAAAAAATTTTTTTTTATAAATATATATATAATAAATAAATGAAAAGTTACCCGCTCGCCAAAGTGACCAAAGGATCTGCATTAGTTGAGTTGGAGGGAATGGTGGAGTCGGAATTGTTGGGATCATCAGAAAGTTGGAAGTTGGAATCGTTAGAATTGTTGGAATTAGGAATGGCGGAAATGTTGTTGGAATCAGATGGTAGAGGTGGAGATGAAATTCGGTTGTCAAGCCATCGTAAGAATTGTTGTCCAAGTTCTGGATCATTTTGTGATGTTGTAAAATCTTCGTCTGGATGACATAGAGAGTCAATATCAAGCATAAGCTGTGATAAAGCAAGCCAGTGTTTAGACCAATAAATAAAAGCAGGGTGAGGAGCTGCAGTTATTGGACGCGGAGATGGTTGGCGGTAAGGAAGGCGGTTGAGAAGGAAGTCAATAGGATTGGGTTTACATGACGAATCAACACCAAGACGAGTAGCAGCAGCAAGACAATCAATGAGATGGTGACGACTTGTGCGTGTGGTAGAACAATTAGAACAAAGTTGGGGTTTTCCAGGTAGCCATCCCATCCGCCAGCGGATAAGACGACTCCTTTCTCTTGCTGTCATTGGCAACCAAAGATTTGGGTTGACACCAATTTGTGAACGACAAGCCGAAATCAGAATGTTGCCTTTGGTTGCATTGCAATTTTGGGTGTGGTGATGAAGACGCATTTGACGAATAGCTGTTTTAAGCGCCCCAGGAGGAAGAGAATCACGAGGCTCAGGTAAAGAAAGCCAGAGCTTGTTTTGTTGTAATTTCGGTAGCTGGTGGAAGCGTTTGTTGGTGAAAAATGGTTTTAAGATGGTGATTAATGAGTCATCTGGTAAATAGGATAATCGAGTTACAAACTTGGCCCCAAGAGTAGTGATACGTTCAGACATAGTGGGTATATTACCCATATGCCGAAACACGATTGTTGATGCTTTGGATCATTCTTAAGATAAGCGACCTCAGTCGCTTATCTAACTATAGTGCGCGTATACTATATATAGTAGCTGTGTTTAAATAGCTTATAGGTATATAGGCTAACAGGAGGCGTAGAATTCAATGGGCGCAATTTCAAACCCAGTTAAATTAATAAATTAGGGAGAAAAAGCTATTTTTTAAAATTCATTAAAAATCGAGTGTGAAAATAATCAGATTTTTAATTGATGTATCAATTTCTATGCATTCTAGCAGTATGTGGTACAAATTACAGATTATTATTATATATAAAAATTATTAGAAAAATGCAAAATTAAGTCTTAACGTAATCATACCTATAAGATTTAAAATGAAGAATTACAAAACAACCAAATGGTCTATTCGGTTAAGGTGTTGGTATCTAATTGAGAAGGTCGTGGGTTCAAATCCCACTGGTGACTATTACTGATTTTTTTCTCATTTCCGACATTGGTTTTAATAGTAAATTTATATTTATCTGTGATTTTTCAAATAAAAAAATATCTTAGATTTGATATTTGTTTCTCTCTTTCTAACTAATATTAGGTTAATTTTACTATTTTTTATATAAAGTTTAAATTTATTTTATCTATAAAATTAATTAGAGTTAGCCCCTTTACTTCTAGAATATTTAGTAGTTATTTTTATTTACTATACCTACCTTATAAAAGAAATTGGTAAATATTTTTTTTATTTTTTTTTATATTTTTTACTACATTTTATTCTTTACCTTTTACTTGTTTATAGTACTAGTTGCTTAAATTAACATTTGTTTATAGTATGTCTATTTGTGTTTATAATAGAAATAAATTAAGCTTTACATTAATAATCTAATTTCTTATACTAATTATAATTATATAATATACTTTCTAATCTTAACTTTGAGATTTTTATCTAAAACAAAACTTGCTCTAACTTTTAATTTTCTAGTTTCTTATGAGAGTACCATAGCTTATATCAATGTTCTAGACATAATTGCTATATTCGAGCGCCGCCTAACGTCGGCGTGGACCGCAAACGTCCCCCTACCCGGGAACGTAAAAATATATGTTAAGTCTGGTAATGCATTCAAGGCTATATCTCACGATCTAAGCTAGCTAGGTAAAATCCAATTGGAGATTTGAAATCAGCGCGTAATTGTCATATATGTGACATATAAAGCATAACTCAACTCTGAAATTTTTGAAATTTATTCTTAATAAATTAAGGGACTTAGTTAAATTTAACTAAATGGCAAAAACATCCAAATATTTAAATGGCCATAACTTTTTACTCAGCCACACTTTTCATGATCCGATTTCAGATTCAAAATCAGAATAATCGAAAGTATAGGAGAACCAAATTACAGCTAATTAGTGTCATTTGCGGCCAATTCTCAAGAAAAGCGACTGAGGTCGCTTATCTTGAGAATTAGCCGATGCTTTGCTATGACCGCCAAATAACATACGAAGGCAGTTATCTTGAGCACGATCAAGTCTCTTGGCATCAATTTGACGGAAACGGGCGATGGCTAATCCATATTCGAATTTTGGGCGAATGAATTGTTTATAGAGTTGAATTGAAAGATGACGAGGGAAACCAGCAGGACTACAACCAAGCTGGTGAAGTACACGCATAGAATGCATTGTACTGGTGATATTGCGTTCGATTAACAGAGATGTATCAATGGTACCCTTGTTGTTGAAAGGAATACCAAGGTAGATGAATGAGGAGGCGGAAATGAGTGGTTGATTATATAACGTGAGTGGTGATGATGATGATGAGGTAGCATTGATGGCGATGCATTTTGTTGGGTTCCATCGATAGCCAAGTTGAAGGGAATGTTGTTCTGCGCGGTCTAGAAGAGATTGCATGATGTCTGGTGAAGCAATAAGAATGACATCGTCGGCGTATAATAATGCATTGATCCAGTAGCCAGCAATTGGACGAGTGGATGAACTATAAAGAGAAGAAGGGAGAAAATCAGAGTCACTATCAGAATCAGAAGAAAAAAGAGGTGCACATAGTATTTGAGGTAAAGAATTGATATAGAGTGAATATAGATGGGGAGATAAAATGGAGCCTTGAAGAACACCTGTAGTAGGGGAGAAACGATGAGAGACATGACCAGAAATTAAAACTTCGATATAGACGTCGTCAAATAGACTCTAGAGAAGGCCAAGGAGAGGAGGAGGAACATCACATTCGAGAACGCGCCAAATGACAGCACGATCGACTGTATCATATGCGGAGGCGATGTCCAGCACACAGATAGCCGGGGGCTGACCAGCAATACGGGCATGGCGGATCGACAGTTCGTGTAAACACAATGCTTGATCAAGAGTGGAGCGTTGCTCCCGAAAACCGCCTTGAGCAACATCTAATGGGAGGGAGTCGCTATGAAGAGAGGGAGAAAGACAAAGTTCCATAACTTTTCGCAAGACAGAAGTCAAACTAATCGGTCTGAAATTTTTAGGGTCAGTATGATCACCTTTTTTGTGTATTGGAATGACTTGAGCCACCCGCCAGAAAATTGGTGTTGAAGACCATTTCCAGCAGAGTTGGAAAAGAGCAGTGATAGTAGGAGCAATAATAGAAATAACTGGTGACAGCAGTTCAGCACAGAGATGATCAGTTCCAGGAGCCTTTTTACGAGCTACTGATTTTAATGCATCGGCGACAGAATCAATATTAAATAGGCAAGCATCATCAATTTGGTGTGGACCAGAGGGACGAGGTGGTGGACCAGCACGTACAGTCGGAAGATATTGACCAGCAAAAACAGTTTCTAAATGGCGAGCCATATTAGTGGCAGCAATAGCAGGACCAGAGGGATCACTAAACGGTTGGCTTTTAGTTCTATGTTGTCGAATTCTTTTAATCGTTGCTGTTGTTTTTGTAAAATCATCAGTAGATAATCTATGGGTAACTCGCGCCAGGTGGTGTATTTACGTTGTCGTACTAAAGACTTGAAATGGATGGCAGCTGTTTGATGTTGATCATACCATTCTGCTTTTAATAGTCCAATATTACGAGTCCATTGTCTATAACAATGTTCACGTTTTTGAAATGCTGTTTCACGTTCATCCGTCCAAAACCATTTATTACCTGTTTTAATTGGATGGCTAGTACCTACAGAATTGTCAAGAGCATTATGTATACACGAATTTAAGTCAGTGGTAAGTGAATCTAAATCAGGTTGAGCTTCATGATTGTCAAGAAAATGGGTAATTTGATTATGTATTGGTTCGATGTTGATGCGACATAGCTCTTTATATTGTCGCATTTTACTGGATCCATAAGTTTACCAAGCTTCCAAAGACGGCGAGGATGATTTGGTGGTGGGATAGTAGGGACATTAGATGGTAATACAAACGTGATACTGACTGGTCGATGATCGGAATCAAGGCCAGCCTCGTTATGAACTTGCATACTTACCTGATCCAAAGGTTCATTGCAAAGAAATAAATCTACAATACTTGTAGAAAGTCCTCCAGTGCTATCTTGCTTTATAAAGGTTGGTTCACCATATAAGTATGTGCTATTAAGGCATTGAAAGCCATGTTCGATTAGAAAGTTATTTAAATAAAGTCCTCGGTTAGTGTCCTTTTTATCTCCTAATAATTGTTTGTTGCATGCATTGATGTCACCACAAATAATGGTACCATTTTGATTATATTAGTTGTTAGCGGTAGTTGTGACATGATGTCTATGGCGTCTATATCGGAAAGGGTGCCATGACCAGGAGGGGGAAGATATAAGCAGTGGATTAAAATCCAGCTACTTGACATGATAAGATATAGGGAAGATTGGGAGAAGGGTGACAGGATAGGGCATTAGGATAACAAGTAATGATATTCCCATCGACCCGCGAAAGGAATTATCTACTTTTTTACCATATGTGTGATGTTGTGTCCATGTTGTTGGAATGGGCTGGGTGGTAATAACCATGTTTCTGTTAAAATAATAATGTAGTTGTTGATAATGTTGATGTAATTGTATTGATTGTTTGTTTTTCGAGTCCATTGGTGTTAAATATGTAATAGTAATGTGATTTATATTATATTATTATTCATATTTTTTTTTAAATGGTGGTGGTAGTGGTGTTATCGGAGTTGTGGTAATATCCATGCATCATCCAATCAATGGTTTCGGGAGGTGGTGGTGAGGGACTATTGGGACGTAATGCATTAGCCGCAGCTAATGCAGTTGTATCAGTTGTTTTTGTGGGTGCAAGCTGTGATTGAAGATCGGCCTCAGATATCCATTCTTGTTGAAGAAAATTACGAGCAACAGCGATTTTAATGTGAGGGGTCTTGATAAAGTTGATGGCGCGGTTACATGTATTATTAAAAATAACTTTGGCTTGTATAGTTCGTTCTTCAGTTGATTTGTCTTTAAATTCGGGATCACGGACAATATCAGCATGACAGGGATTAAATGAATTATGGAGTTGAACTCCACGATGGTTAAGTTGAGCAGTAAGGTCTGATTCATAATCATTATGAATCAGAATACCTACTACCCCACGGTCAGGAAAATGGACATCAAGGATGCGAGAATTGTCAATTTTTAATTTACGGAGGATATCGCATAGTTGTTTAATGGTCATACGGTGATGTTGGTGAAGATATACGAATTTAAATCCACTTTGAGTTGATAGTGCTAGTTTTCTGGCTGCTGCTTGAACTTGACGTGTGGTTGGTTTTTTTATAGTAACTTTACGTGCGGTCATTTGAGCGTATGAAGGTGTAGATGATTTGGTGGCGGTTGGTGCAGGTGGTGGGGAATTATTATTATTGTGGTTGTTGGTGGTGCTGTCGGTCTCAGAAGCATATTTTGATGCTTGGGAGCCAGTAGAAGGGTTCATTTTTTTGGTGCCACGTAAAGTGGCAAGTTCATGTTCCAGTTTTTTATTTGTTTTTTGTAAGTTATTGTTAGCATCTGTAAGCTCACTTACCTTTTTTTGTAGTTTGACAAGCTCCTCAAACATTTCATCATGTTTATCCAATCTTTTATGAATAGCTTGAAGGTAGTCAGGTAGTTGGGGAAAGTTATGGATAAAAGTATCCATACCATCAGATTGGGAGGTAGGGGCAGCTGCTTGATGTTTTTTAGTAATTGTTGATACATGAATAATTACTTCTAAAAATTGTTTATGAGTAAAATGTCCACTGCAATTTGTGCAGTATAACATTGGTGCAGGCGGACTATAGGTAGCATTAGTATCAGGAGCGATAATAATAGTACCTATTTGGTGACAGGTGATACAGTTAATTTGTGTTTGTGCGAGGTCAAAATTATTTTGGAATTCCTTAAGGAAACCATCTGCAAGTTTTTCTTTTTCCATTATTTTTATAATTTTTTCTGATGTTTTTTGGTTTTCTGGTTGTTTTTTATCTTTTTCAGTTTTTTCTGCCCGTGTATTGTAGGGACTGGT